TTCACTCAAGACAACCGATCATTGGTTCAGAAGTTATGGGGATTTGGTTTCACTCTAACGAATGATTTTTCTAATGAAATGTTCGCCACTTTTATCGCAAACAACAAGTCGTTGAAATGTCTTAGAGCTTGGGCTGAAGGTGAAAGTCCTCCGAAAAGGTCTGTCATTAAAATGATGACACAAATAAGTGAATTAAAACAACTCCGGGAACTGGATCTATATATTTACGGCAACGGAGATCCGATGGACTACTTGCCGTACAAATGGTTTGCCAAAATCGGTGCCAAATGTCGACAATTGAAACGATTTACCCTTCTAATGGTGTCCAATTCATGGCAACTGAATGTAGATGTCATGAATGCCATGAAATGTATGCCACGATTACGTCGATTGTATTTAGGGTTGCAATTGTCATCCGATGCCGAAGTGGTCATCCCTTCCGATATGTTTGACGGCATCTATGGCTGCAAACGGTTGACTCATTTATCACTCAATGTTTGGGGAATACACGACACACTGTTAAACGGTATTGAGATTAATCTCCGGAAACTGCAGTCTCTGATCATTTCAAGTGATGAAGACATCGGATACAAGTACTCGAATTACAAGACATTTATTGTGAAAAGTAGTCCTCATTTGAGAAGATTTTATGTTTGGGGAGAATTTCTCACTTCTGACATCGACTTCAACCACAACCACATCAATGAATTGAGAAAACAATTTGCAATCCACTCAATGAATGACTAAAACTATTTTAGGTTATGCTCTGTATTTGTATTTAAATAAAAAAAATTTTACGAACTTATATACCGGTAATGCAATACTTTTCCAAAATGTTATTCTGTCGGATACTTTTATAATTGAATAACTAATATTTATCTATCAAATCTCGTAACAAAAATATAACAAGTTTATTTAAATCTACTTAACATTGTTTTTATTTAACTCACCACTTATACTCCACTACCAACTTATAGTTACACTTACAATGTATTTACACTCTCAATATTATATTGTGTCAAATTTGCATTGAATTTATTGAATTAGTTTTAAAGTGTTATAAATTTTAAATACTTTTTTAGTCTTTCGTATGAGAAGTACTAAAATCGTATTCAATAGTAATGTATGGATTGAAAGTTTTATTCAACAAATGCAACCAAAGGTCTGTCAAACTGTACAACACTTTGATTTACAGAGTAATAGTAAAAAGAGAGTAAAAAGTTTTTACTAAAAACGGTAAAAGTCTTAAACCTTATTGTGTTTGAAATCAGATCTGCATCAGCGGTGGTCATGATTTCAATGATAGGATCTAACGCTTTATATAAACGGAGGAGAAGCCAGTTGTCAACACACTGTATGCGATCAGACAATCACCTGAAGCACCAGTTGTTTAATCTAAGGCGAGCCTATTTGGTCGGACCATTCAAAGAGGACTGGGAACTGCCTTTCGTGTCGTTTAGACCTTATTATCAAAGACAAGACCCGGAGCTCATGAAAGACGGCACACAATATGTATTGGGCTCAGGGTTTATAGTCCACCCGAAAGGTCTTGTCGTCACTTCATTACCCTCTGTGGGCACTCACGCGGAAGTGATGGTACGACTGGGAAATGGAGATGAAGTGAAGGGCAGAGTTGTCACGAAAGACAATATATTAGCCGTCATTGAGTTGGAGAAGAGAGACAAAGATTACCCGTCCGTTGATTTCGCCGATTCCGATGCCCTACAGGTTGGCGACGAAGTGTTGGCGCTCACAGACCCGAGATATGGGATCTATAACTACATGAGCGACGGTCGGGTCACTGATCTGCGTCTGAGTGGATCTCTTGTGCAGAAATTTCAGCGAATGTCAGATCTCGCGGCTTATGATTACATCATACATACGGCGCTCTCGAAGGCTAACGGCTCGGCTCTACTGAACCGCGCGGGACAGGTATTAGGCATGAATTGCGCCCAACAGGACAATCACATCAATGTTTGCATTAGTAAATACTGTAATGTGGCAGAAAAAGTTTCACAACAAGAATGTGTTTAAAAAGAATTCATATTTAATTCATTCATTGAATGAAGAATCCGTTATAAAAACCGCTATAAATCCAAACAATTTAAATATAAAATTAATGAAAATTCTTGGAAATGGTTATCATATTTCTATTGATTCTCTTAAAAAGTTACTTTTTCTGACCGTATATTCTATACAACCATAAAACTTCTTGTATTGTAAAATATGTGTACAAATAGTTACAAAGTTTGCTGTCTTTTGGTTTCATTGCAATTGATTCTTATATGTCATATAAAATGCGATGAATTTGACGGATATGTAGTGAAACCTCACAAAAAGTATAACGATCTGAATTGTTATCATCCAGTGGTCACATCCATGACCAGAATGAGAGATAACTTCTACTTCTTATCCACTTATGACAAGAGATTTTGGTTTATCAGTGAATCAGACGAAGCGAATGACAAGAATAGCCGAAAGTTGGACACAATAACCACTAATTGGCTTAAAATCGATGCTTCGCTTTAATCTACTTCTTATCCACTTATGACAAGAGATTTTGGTTTATCAGTGAATCAGACGAAGCGAATGACAAGAATAGCCGAAAGTTGGACACAATAACCACTAATTGGCTTAAAATCGATGCTTCGCTTTATTATGGATTGAACGCCGAGTGCGGCCTTCAGTTCAGGGATTCATTAGTTTTAGTCAATTATAACGAGAAGTCACAACAAAATGAGATTCTTTACGGAAATCTTCGCGATTGGAAGTGGACTTCAATGGTTTGGTCACAATTTGAAGGCTTTAAGGTCACCGAAACCTTATTGGATTGGAAACGAAGTATAGACGGCATCGCCATCATCGAGGAGACTCTGTTTCTATTTCAGGGTAACTTTGCACTCATTATATTGTATTTTATTAACATCTATACCTTAATTGCTATTAAAGACAATAAACAGATTCGCGTCGACTGTCTCTATAAAACAGATAAATGGGTTTATGAGGTAAACACCGGACACAAGAATTTCCTGATAACCGGACCCTTCAATGCCACTTATTTCGGGGAACAACAGAAAGATACCATTCCCTTATACATCATCAAAGGCGATAAATATCATATTTGCTATCTGAAGGTTTGTATTTTCTACAAAACATATCGTAAACTATGATAAAGTTTGAAACTCTCTTACGTTATATAATAGATGTCTGAGAATGTGATGGCAACGTGTGATCCGGAAGACCTTTCGGGCAACAGTTTAATACCGAAACCTCAGTGTGTCGTAAAGAGTGACCCAAATAAAGCTCTGTTCACTTCATTGATGGTTCAACTCTTCTTACTATTCATGATCTTAGCGGCCGCCACCATCTTCGCCAACACTCACCTCATAAACATGTGGTCGGAATCCGATTCCCCAGTGGAGGCCAACACTGCAACAAAACCCAAAAATACTGCCGAAATACAGCTAAAATCACCCGTCAAACCGCCGGTAGGATTACCCGTCAAACAGCCGGTAGGATCACCCGTCAAATCGCCTGTAAATACCCCGGTCAATAAGGCCAAAATGCGTGAACCATCTAAGGGTCTAATCGAGAGGAAATAACAAACATAAAAGAAAAAGAGATCCAAAGAAAGTAAATGAAACCAAACATAAGTTTACATAACTACGTAAGACTTATACGAAACCATTTGAAACTTCATTTTAATTTAAGTGATAATATTTTTTAAGTTCAAAATTTGCTTTTAGATTTAATTATTCATTATTTTATCTGTCATTAAACACTTGTAAATAGTTATTATAAAGAACACTTATTGCATTTTATTTAAACTTTCCAAATATATTAATAAAATACATAATTATCTTAAATTACAATATTATTCATACATTAGTTATTTGTATAAACAAAAAATAATTTTACAATACTAATACATAGCTTATTATAAAATAGTTCAGAAAATACTATTTTAAAACTAACTTATAAACTTATAATACTTTAATATGAGGCTTTATATGGAATACTGTACAAAATAGTCATAAAATGATTACGGTATTAAACAATATATTAACGGTAAAGAACAGTCATATATAAATTACTGTCTATGACATAGATGATTTAGACTCTATGTTAAATTGAAAACCCTTATATTATAAGGATTACGCTGTTTTGTATTGAATTTAAAGTAATTAATGATTTACTACTTTTAAAATTAAAATTTTAAACCTTAGAAACTGAATGTTAAAAATAAAGTAAAAATCCTTAAATATTTTATGAGTTGCTTAAAACTATTAATAATTCAATAGCAAAACACCAGTATTTGGTTATAAATTATAAAACATATAAATGTTAATTACAATTTTGTCGACAATTTTCCCAGTTTCCCAACATATTTATTATTAGACGCCATTCCTATGCTAAATATATGTAGTTTAAGCAACAAATCATACCATATTTCATGCAAAATGAATAGAAATCACTTGATATTAAAATATTGAATCTAAATGCTTATCATTGCAGACTAAAAGATGTTTCCCTTGACTAAAGGTCCGGGGATATGGATATCACACAACGTGTGTTGAATCAATTTCATGTTTTGATTATTATTGTAATTATCTGAAAATTAGTTGATTTCACTTCCCTTTTAATGATATCCATTTATATAATACAGTATCAAATAAAGTAATATTAGAAATGTTATTGATAAAAATATTTGCAAAACTAGTTTCAATTCAAACTAATTATCTAACTTAATATGCTTAATACATGATTAATTCTTTAAATTCATACTTATTCACTAAAATAATGTATTTTATATAGTGTACATTTATAATCTTATTACAATACATTAAATAATTACTATATAGCCATAAAAATTACTGTTTTAATTAGTATGCAGTACGTAAGAAAAAACAAAAAGCAAATTATTACATCACAAAGTAATTAATTTTATTCAATAAGTATTTTATCAATAATTCTGATAATTATAGCGCAACTGAAATGTATTCGTACTGAATATCACTGTTATATATAATTCTAGTGTTACTTAAATGTATGAAATACTACATGAGATGAAACTAACATTTAAGAAAAAATTATATTTAATTAGAAATTAATGAATTATAACATAAGAAAAGTTCAGTGGATGTAAATTTTTAGTACAAATATTAATTTATGTGTAAAGAATTGGTGCATTGTTTGAAATGCAAATAATTTCCATTATGTATAGCAATGAATGCATAAAATTCAACAACAAAAGTGCATTCAAATAATAAAATAACAATTGTAATGACTATTAACAGCGATTTCAGTGCATTTCATCACTGGTATGCAATCCCGTTTGGCAGCCAATAGTAGGCGAGCACTCGTATGAAGGATAAGGTCTCTGCCAAAGCATTTCCATTGATATGTGAGATCACATCACGTCTTAGCGCAACCATTTGACAACTACCAGTGCCACCACAAGCTAAGTGTGCCCATACAGTGTGTGCCACAGCAGTGTTGGATGGGCTACTTGCCCATTGGTATGCCTTTCCATTTGTACGAACTAATTAAATACCACAATTAATTAAACTATACCGCGATTTCACTGTAATATAATATAATATATGACCTCAAATGGTGTTATCATTAAGACTCAGATATCATAGTACTGTAAATGTGTTTAACGAATATTCATATCAATAATTGCTGTGTATTTCAGTATTTCATTTAAAGGCCTTTCAAATTGAAATCATTAGATATATAAGAAAACTAATACTTTT